AGCTTGAGTTTTACCTTCGCGATCCTTTATCATATACACCGGTTGCCGGAAGTACATGTAACATAAAGTATTCATGGATTGGTCAAACATGTTTGGCAGGACTGAGCAAAAGTTGCCCAAGCTATATTTAATTCTTGCATTCATCATCATGGGCGGACATTGAACGCGCTGTTTTTTTTAACATTTTGGCCAGAAAAACTGGGTTTAGTTGTAAGTTTGGCCCACTGCTTTTTTAAAACCGACCAACCAAACTAACCCTTGTCACCTCAAATCTATTGTAACCACATAGTTAAAAAAAGGATGTTGGACCCTTCCGTTACGGTGACCTATTTTCCACCATATAACTACAGTCGTTAGTTGTAGTTAGCAATCTTTGCAATCGATCAAAGCTTGCCATTCTGCCATAACAGCTAAACTACCTAACTAGTCAGTTAAACACGTATTACTCTAATACATATCACCACAAGTCAACGCCAGGGTTAGGGGCAGATTAGGAATATAATTAAAATTAGGGTTAAGAGCCTAGAGAGATGGGTGTTGAGTTGGGGCCTCTTGGGGTTGGCAGCTGTTAGCGATCAGCTAAGGGCCGAACTCAACTGGGGCTCACTCACTCGGCCACTGAAGTGGGGCTTAAAACCTTACTTTGACATTCAACGATCATCAGGAGTTGTTAACTTTACACGTTACAGCAATTATATAAACACCGTTTAATCCCTTGGAAACATCAGTATGTTTCGTTATTCTCCTCCTGCTCAGCCCTATTACACTATGTCCTTGTAAGCTTTCTGATTGGCCTGAATGTGGCTTCTCCCATCCACCACCACATCTGAGCTGATGAACAGACAGACAGTGGATAATCAGCCTGCCTAACAGCCCCGGACCTGTAATCAGCTAATTCTTTTTTTTTTTTTTTTTTTTTTTTTTTTTTTTTATCTATTTCCTTGAATCTATACTTCTGCCTTGTGAATGTTGAAGAATTATATTCCTCCCATGGAGGGGATGATTATATTCCCTTTTCTGACAGCCGGAAGTGCTCGAAAGTTCATCTCTGAATCACCTTTCGAACTTCTCATAGCTTCTGTGATATTGCTATGTATGATAACACGAATATGCAGTGACGTTCGGAGCCGTTTTAGGGATATTCAGACGAGCGAATCATGGAGACCTAAAACCATTCCATATTGGATCCCTTATTTTGGGCATGCTCTGTCCCTGGGACTCCGTCGTCGGAGTCTACTAGAACATGCTCGGTTAGTTTTATCTATCCTATATTGTCTTCGCATCGCGTTGCTAAAAGTATAGATAGAGACAACACTGCCGAACCCGCCTTTAGCCTCTATGTGTGCGGCCAGAGACATAACATAATAACATCCCCATCATTGGCGAAATCTCTTTTAGTGGAGAAGAAATCGTCCATCTCACCAAATTCTTTCATTAATCATGTCATGGAGCACGCCTTTGGAGCACGCAGAAACTCAAGGAAACTCAACCGGGCCGCATTCGACGCCGAATGCAGATCAATGGAATTTCAAATGCAAGAACCTCATGCATCCGACTGCTTGCAGGCTACTATTCGAGAAATTGAACGAAACATGCCAAACATGCTCTCATTTTGCCGAAGTATAGTCGATCAGTCTCTCTGGGAGCGGATGAGCAGGGTGTCCATCGTTAGCAGTGACGGCAATAACCAGGTTTGCGAAGTAAATCTTTACGCATTGGTCCGGAACTTTGTCGCTGTGACCATCATGACGACCATCATGGGTGGAGACTTTATGGAGGCCCTTCCCAATACTCCAGATGATCTTTGGAAATTTAACGGTAATTTCAACGCCATTGTGCTGGGCATTCAACGATTTGTTCCCTTCCCAGGACTCCCAACCGCATACCGATCGCGTCGCAGACTTCTACAAGGAATGGAGGCATTCCATTCTGCCTTCGTAATCGCAGAAAACGGCCACGATCCTGGCTTCGACTGGCGTGAAATGGATAGCGTCTCTGAGTTCATTCAAAGTCAGTGTAGGGCATGGAAAACGGCCGGGCTTTCAGTTAAGTCAATGGCTTCGGAAAGCCTAGCGATCTTATGGGCTATGAACACGAAAGTGAACACAATCGTATTTTGGAACCTCATTCACATCCTGGAGGACAGACAATACTATTCTCGAATAATGAAAGAAATCTCTCCCTACTCCCGCGCTAGCCGACCAGGTGCTGAGGAGACAGGCTTCCGGCTACCAGAGCCCCCACGATTATCGCTGGATGTTGATCGCCTTGTTGATTCTTGCCCCTTACTGAAAGCTGCCTACTACGAGACGCTTCGCCTACACTCTTGCCCGATAACTTACAGGAAGATCATCAAGGATTTTCAATTGACTGAATCCGAAGCGGATGCGGATATGGCGGGTCGGAAGCCGCAGACATACCAATTCAGGCAGGGGGAGTTCATCGCCGTACCTCACAGTCTCCACAACACAGATTCGCATTACTTTAAGGACCCGCATGAATTCAACTCGGAAAGATTTCTGGCGGAGAAGAGTGTGGACATCAACGAATCGTCAGAAAAGGATGCAGAAATTACAAAACAAGACCCTTCTTCCATCACCCAACCCAAGATTGCTCTTCAGATACCAGAAACGTGGACAGCAGAGAGCGGGAACGAAAATTCTATAAGCACGGATGGGAAATTTGCGGAACGTACCACATTGGCATTCGTTGCTGGTCTGCTGACGATGTGGGATATTGAGCCTGCGAAAGGGATGGGGTGGAAAATCCCCAAAAGGAGAATTGGTGGACTTGTTTATGAGCCAAAGACGGAGATTAGAGCGAGGATTAAATCCAAAGTGGTATGAGAGGATAGAGGACGGTTTCTTTTCCACCCCCCAACCTCTCTTCATAAGCTGTTCACTTTCATAGAGTTCTTCCTTATTTATATTTTTGCGGTTGTCATTTAAGAGCTACCAAATGGGGTTTATCGTCGATTCATGGAAAGAAGATGTCACTTGGGAAAATTTTTCCGCTTTTACATATCTAACCGTCCCTCGAGTGATTTGAACGTTAAGAGTGAACATTTTACGATAGACGATCTCTCACCCATTGATTTACGGGTTAGGAGTACGTCTTCCACACCTGCGAAACTAGCACATGGAGTCTGAAAAGCTGCACCTGCAACTGGCATCTTATCTGGCCACACCACCCGGATCGACACTGGGATATGTCGTCACGAATGATCATGAACGAATTCCGGGACAGAAGAGAACTGGTTTCCAGCTGCCCAAATTATGTAGTCACGTCCGACAATAGGGTGCATAACTCCGGGGGAACTCTTCTCCAGCCTGATCATGACTTGAACACAAAAACCGTGGTCTATCAATACAAAACGATCTTCAGTCTCATGAGTTATCTGAATATCAGGCCCCCGATATAGGACACTCTAATGCTCAGGGGTTGCAGTTGAACGTGGGTTTAAAGAAGTTGAACATTTGGTTTAAAAGTTGGGGCCCACTTTTCGTAAAACCTTGATCCGCATCACCCCAGCCTTTATGTACACTCTGCACATAACGTACTTCACCAAGCGGCGGATTCTCTCCGAAAATCATCAAATATTCAATGTATTCAACAACCAACACACTTAAATATTGAAAATGTTAATAAATCAAGACTATCTTATAGTTGAATATGGCTATTTATCAGGGCAACTGTGAAATACTATGTTAATAGTCCCACAGCCACTGCAGTGTGATGGAGCTCGCTGATGAGACATAGCTTCAATGAGCTTCAATCTGTATATCAAGCTGCTGAACATGCCCACGATCTTTCTTTATAGATAGAATAGTATCCAGACCTAGTTTAGCATGTCTCTGTGTCTTTTCTTTGTCTTCCGCTCATTATCCGCTTGTAGAATCTTGATTTCTTGATGAAAAAGAAGATTTGTATTCATAGTTATTTGTGCAGCCTTCTCAAGATGTCAAAGATGAGATATTGAGCTACTAGATAGCTGTTTCTTCTTATTAAAATTTCACTACAAGTGATGAATTTTATGATCAAGCTGATAAGTGATTTAAGATGTTTGAAATACTGAAGATATTGAGCTCTCATTATTAATTAAAAATAATAGTAATGATGTTAATATATATAGTTGAAAGATATTTTTTCATAAAACTTTCTCTATATCTAATGATTTAAGCCCTGCTTTAGCAAATTCATTATAGATATTTTTTTATAGAGATTTTCTTATATGCAGATAAATAAAAAGAAAGAAAAATATTTTTATTAATATAATTATTTTTGCAATTATTATTTCTTCAATCAACTTTTTATATATGAATTTTAATATCCCAATAACATCAACATCTAGTAATTGAAGAAGATGAGATGTTGTTACGGCACAGCTGCTTGTAATATGAATTAAGGTTGATTCACTCCCGCTCCAAAGGTTGATCTGTTCCAATCGCCAACCACCTCTATATATTCAGCTGCTCGTTCATTCCATATTCTAATCCCCAGTTTAGTATTCTCATCACAGTTGCCTAGTTAGATAGATGAATTGAAGCTTTTGTCTTGTTATCATCTTGACTCTAGATTGAGCCATTATATTTGTGATCATTTACATATGTTTCTGAATGTGATTTGATATTAGCAAATTATTTGCACACACAGGTTAGTTTCAGAAACCTTTATATATCTTTGAAGTTTTCATTTTTGATATATATATATATTTGATTTATATACAGCAATGGCCAATTGTAAAAATGTGAAGAAATGATGTGTTGAAGATATTTGAGTTGAATATTTTGATTATTTCAAAGAGAATCCGCCGCTCGGTGAAGTACGTTAGTGTATGTGTCAGGATATCTCAATAGCTAATGTTGCATCAAATTGAGCTGTATAATCTCTGCATTCATCTTCTAAGTAACTGCTAGTAAAATAGGTGTAAAGAACAGAAGAGAATGTGCGCATCTGACTAAGCGACTAAGCGAATAGTTACATGGATCATTGCCAGATCCCTATTGCTCAATCTGTTCCTGAATGCCCCTTTGATTACGTATATAAGATTTCCGGGGCTGTTTAGGCGCTCTTGTCCCTATGCCGCATGCGGTCCTTTTCTTCTCCAACTTTTCCATCAACTGACGATCTAACCTACAGCGATGGAAGTCAATAACAATGGCACGCTTGAGCTCATTACTCCATAGGATATTGTCCGGTCGAAGATCCCCATGGATGACCCCTAACGCACGAATTCCCTTCGTCGACCTTGAGATTTCCTGTTGCAGCAACGGCCACCGCTCAAGATTTGCGATGCTCTCACCTCCCCAAGCCATCAGCAGCATATGGCGGATGGGGCCGAAGCCATGTAGGAAGTAAGTCTTCGCCAAGTCAATAGAGCCAAGGAAGACAGGGACAGCGACTCCCTGAACCGTCTGTAGGATCCGATATATTTCAGCTTCCCGTGAAACCTCCGCCCAGAAGGCGGAAGTTGTTCCCTTTCCAGCTACAGTATAGCCGTGCTCCGCACAGGTCAGCTTAAATATCGCCCCGTATGTTCCCTGGATACCCAGTGGCGAACAGTTACGGTCAAGATTATCATCTAGCTGCTGGTTGAGCAAGCGCAGAAGGGACGCATCATTAATACAATGCCTTTCAACATTTTCTCCGTGCTGGTGCCGTGCCACGTTAGGACAATTGTGGTCTAAAAGGTCACCGGAGCGGAGACCACGCAAACACCGTTGAGTGCAGAATTGCGCGGCTGCCTGTCGGAATTGGGGCCCTTGAGCATTGCGCGAGTCGGACCGACCGGTCCTTTGAGTCGGCGGAGACGACGTAATCTGGCTAAAACCTCGCTTCCGCGCTGGGGCATTTTGATTTGAATCGGAATCAGAAGAGTCTGTTCGTTCCGTGCTATGACTCAGATCGGGCGGCGAACATCCAGGTTGGGACCTAGTGGGAATGCCACGACGCACAGGTGTTTGCGTAGGGGACGACGGTAGATACTCGGACCCGGTATACTCAGAGCCGCTGTACTCCGAATCTGGAGGTGCCTGCCGTAATTCCTCTTCTGGTATTTCAGATAGGGTGTAGTCAAAGCTGGTCTTCCATATGTGAAGCTGCGCCCGCGCAGCATTCCGCCACTCCTGGTCACGGGGGGGGAAATCAAAACTCATCAGGCAAAGACACAGCGCTCTGGCAATTGCGGTATTCGGTTGGTCAAAGCCCCTGTTATCATCTATACCCAGATCCAAATTTGGCTCGCACAGGTAATAGTAAAGCGTACTAGGGTCGTCGTATGGGACATGAAGCAGGATAAACGCCAGTCCGTTGGTCACGTACGCATACGGAATACCATCTTCTATCATGGTATGATAATGCTGGACTACCGCAGATCCTGATATTTGTTGCGCATTATACTTCAATTTCTCTTCTTTGTCGACAGGTATGGTCCGTGGCTTGACTACAGTTTCCCAGAAATTCATGGGCCGCAGGCCAACTCGAAGATTTTCTACAGAGAGCTTGTGAGGTGGTTTATATTCCACTGTTGTGAGGAGAGTATTCATGTTGTTGTCGAGCCGATGGATGCAGAACTGGTCGGGTCTGGTACGCGGCGAGTCAGATTGATCCGTATCAAAGTTGTCCATCGCGTTGGCATGATTCTCAAACCGAATTCCATCACCAAGACAAAACTCATTTCGAGCCTCAGGTATTTTACATAGCTCATCGATTATATCCACAATGTGATCTTCCACGGCTAGACGCTCATAGGTCTCAAGGTCCCGCTCACTACTGAGTGGGCGACGGCTTACGCGTCGGGAAACTTCCTCCAGCGCAATAATAGGCGGAAATGGGCGCTGTTCAGCTCCTCCAGCTGGCCCTAGATAGTTGCAGACAGAGGTGTAGATGTCTTGCTGCTTGGCTGGCAAGTCGACCCAAGGGAGGAGCTTTGTCGGGCAATATTTTCCCTTCGGTGGCTGTATTGCTCCCTTTGTAGAGTGGGATGGTTCTGCAACCCTCAACGGTATAGAAAGTAGAGTATGGCAGGCACGAATAAACTCGGGAAGGGAAGTTTGAAGACTTCGCCCCTCTGCATGTCTGCGCCCCTCCTCTGCACGTCTGTGTTCCTCCTCTGCATGTCTGCGCCCCTCCTCTGCACGTCTGCGCCCCTCCTCTGCATGTCTGCGCCCCTCCTCTGCACGTCTGTGTTCCTCCTCTGCATGTCTGCGCCCTTCCTCTGCATGTTTGCGCCCTTCCTCTGCACGTCTGTGTTCCTCCTCTGCATGTCTGCGCCCTTCCTCTGCACGTCTGTGTTCCTCCTCTGCATGTCTGCGCTGCTCTTCCGCACGTTTCCATTCTTCTTCTGCTTGCAGAAAGAGGGCTCTGTAATCAGGTGAATTGCTGTTGGCCATCGTAACTCTTGGTACAATTCTGACAGGCTGATGATCGAGTTTCTGCTGTAAAGAAGTTCCAGAACTCTACTGAAGTTGTCAGTGATTATGACCTGAAATGGGCTCCGACGGATGCCTATCACAAGAAGACTTTCCTCTGTTGCACTAGACCCAAAAGCTCCTTGAAACACCCAGCCCTCTTGTCGGATACAGTGGTGAAACTCGCAAGGAACTATCTAAGCAGATCAAAATAATATTTTATCAGATCAAAAATCTATCTGATTGATCATTCTTATTGTTGGCATTCCTGACCTTTTCAGAATTCTAGGGGGTTTATATACATGAAAATTCTGATGACCTAGGCCCAAAACAGCAATTTCAACCACAAGCACTAAATTGCAGTCATGTTCGTAAGTTGCTTTTACCAATTCAATACCATATCTACACTCGTTTGGCTGCATGATACATGACGCCCAAATTGGAACAGTAATCTTATTTTTCTGATCATGATACTCTCGCTCTGCCATCTTTTCTTGCTTTGATGTGTTAACAAGATTCATATTTTTTCTAAGATATGACACTGGATTACCAATCCATCTTCCAGAGCGTGTTGTCTTCTGCTCAACCCAATTATCCCTTCGTCACTTCCAGTCTTTTGTCCAGCGGCCAATCACCCAAGGTCACGAAAAAGCCTTCTCTTGGTCAGCATTTCGTATCAGCTTGGAGTGGCGAGGTGCAGCTGCCAAGCCGGTGGATGTAGCAACCGTGAGACCCATCCAACAACAGCATCGATTGAGGGGCTGGGGTGATATCATACGAAATCGCACGTCCCGGCCTAACCACCCGCACCTGGCCTACTGTGTACATGCACACAACATCCACCATTAACCCATTACAGTGACATCCATGCGGGTTGCTGGCCACGATTAAGCCACTCGCCGGCCGGCTAGTAGTTGGGTGGCTGGCTGTCCACCAGCTAATCGCCATCTGTCGTAGGTTTTTTTTTTTTTGGCCCTCATTTTTGGGCCCTCATTTTTGGCCCCCCCCCTTTTTTTTTCTTTCTTTTTTTTCTTTTCTTTTCTTTTTTTTTTTTTTTGCACTTTTGAAATGGTAGGGGGGATATGAAGATCAGCCGTTGGAGATAAACAAAATGGAACCCCTGAATCAACAGCTCAAGAATCCGGAAGCTCCTAAAACTTAGTTAACTATTATATAACTAACTAGTTAACTAGTTTAGTTAGTTAACATCCGTGAGAGATTGGCAATAGCAAAAGGCCAACAGCGCCTGGTTTGAGGCGGGTATCAATCTCACCGAGAGTTTTAACGGATTCCGGCAATCGTCCGAGATTGCTTGCCCATGTATGACGGCTGGACCCCATCCGCCTTGAAGTGTATCTGTCAGTTGAATGCAGATACATTTAGCCACATTTCCACAGCATATGAGTTCGGAGAACGGAGGGAATTAGTCCACTTGGAAAGAAGTTGTGGATTCATTGCGTTGCACAGATTTTATTTCGGATGTTGAAATTAGTTAGGGTTAAATTTCCGAAACTGAACGTTCCTATGACTAAGCCACCGGGTATGATCACATCTCGCGTTAGTTAGTAGCCCAGAAGGCGACGCGACGAGGTTGGGATTGAAGTTCAATATCGACATCACTACTACGGAGTACATACGAACAACGGGACGATAACGACGACTTTGAGCACAAAGGATCCAAGTGAATGGTTTCCGGCATTTTATACTATCCGGATTCTTGCCTGGAATAATTCACCCAACCTGCGCAATCGTATGCTACGTATCTCTCCATATGGCTTCAGAAACGGTCCGGTTGAGAGGAAGACCAGCCCGTATGTGTCCCGCATTTCCCAAATTGCAATTGAAATTGGCAGAGATATGAAGCATGTCCTTCCTGTTTAATATCTCAGTTCTAATAAATTCTTTTCTCTATAGATACTCCGGGAACTACTATTCTCAGCTATACGCCTAATGGCCGACGAGTCATAACCGCTGGTTCCAACTCTGCCATTCGAATATTTACGATTGGAGAAAACGATGAACCAAAAACAGTTGATGATGGTGTGGATGGGCGATTGGGGATTGTTGCAACCGTATGCTTAGTGCCTTTTGCTTAATCAGGGGACAGGATGCTTGACATATAGTGCTAATTGTCCCATCGATTGCGAGGTAGAACGATTCGTTTATCATGGGAGGGGAGGACGGAACGGTCTGGAGATACGAATTAGAAACAGGTCAGATGGATAAATTGCTGGTCCGCTGCGCGTTACCCGTACGAGACTTGTCACTGTCAAAGGATGGGGATTGGGTGGCCGTTGCCAGCGAGTACGTGTTCCCTAGATTTTGAATGTCAAAATGTTCCCAAGCTGATTCCGGCATATGTTAATTGCAGTGACCTCGTGGTCAAAATCGTTAATATTCATGATATGACCATTGTGAAGTATTTACGGGAGCAGAGTAAAGGTGTTAAGCATGTGACCTTCGACCCCAGCGGACGATTTATTGCCGTCTCTGGCTCAGATGGAATCATCTACGTATACTCCGTCGATGGGCCGCAGCCAGAACTGGTGAAGAGAATTGATGGCATAATTGGCAGACTGGAAACAGACAATGAAGCCACAACACGGGCAGTGTGGCATCCAGAGGGCAGAGCATTTGTTGCCGTTGAGCCAACACGAGATATTGCGATAGTCGCTGCGAGCGACTGGACGAAACAAAATGTGTTCCCTGCCGGCCATAATGCAGATATTACCGCGCTTGCCTGGTCCCCGAACGGAGCCTTGCTGGCGAGTGCTGGGGCAGATCGTCAAATTGTGCTTTGGGAGACGAAGACGCAAAAGATTCTGCGGAGATATGATATACCAAACGTGATAAATCTCGCATGGCATCCCGTTGATAACACCCTCTCTTTTACCACATCTGATGGTGAACTATTCATGTTTGAAGATTTTGTTCCTGTAGAGCATAGGTCATTGCTCGATAAACCATTAGAAAGTGCACCTTTGCTCTCTGGAGCTCCTCAAAAGCAAATGGGTCTCCCTACCAGGCGTTTGACGAATGGCTTACAGACTAGCCTGGAAAATCAACCAAGAAGGAGCGGTACTCCGGACCCTTTAGATGATATTTTGGGACCCATGGAGGAAGACGATGGATTCATCGAGGATGACGATGGAGCTGGTTATGTAGAAATCAATCAATACGGAAAACGCACAACTGGTTCTTGTGATGAGCTAGATGGCCATGATGATAAACGGCGGATGGGTATGTTCTTACAACCAAAGCAACACTCCCCATTTCAGCCCGGCAGTACTCCCTGGAGAGGTAACAGAAGATATCTATGTAAGTATATCGAGATATGCGCATTTTAAATACCATCTGCTGAATTCCGAGACAGCTCTCAATTTAATCGGATTTGTTTGGACGGTTAATCAAGAGACACACAATACTGTCACTGTCGAGTTTTACGACCGGGAGCGGTTTCGGGACTTCCATTTTACCGACCCCTTTTTGTACGATAAGGCCTGTTTAAGTATGTCAAGCCCCCTGCATCTGCGGAGTTATACACACTAACTCCTTCCAGATGAGAAAGGAACATTATTTTCATGCCAGCCGTCGAACGGGAATCCGGCTACTATATTCTATCGCCCTCACGAAACCTGGACAGTACGGGCTGATTGGCGAACTCAACTCCCTGAAGGCGAGAGTATCACTGGTTAGTGCTACGGAGTATAGTCCACCTGATTAGTTGTGTTCTGTTCACTAATGGCAAATATATAGCCATCGCACTTAGCCATTCCTATATTGTTGTGACTACCTCTGCGGATTATGTCCGAGTTTACACCCTCTTTGGCACCCCGTACCGAATTTATAGGCAAAAGAGTCAAAGTGTTACTTGTGCGGCGTGGAAAGACTATGTTCTAACAGTAGGAAACGGGCCTGTCGGCAGCGATGGTATGGCCCAACTAACCTATTCGATTGAAAATGTTAAACGGGATGAAATTTGCCAAAATGAAGATCATGTCGCTTTACCCGACTCTGCCGAGCTTCGAAGCGTTTTCTTTTCAGATAGTGGGGTATGTTCCTAACAACCCCTGTCTTCAACAAAAAAATGTGAGACTGACAATTCTAAGGATCCCTTCATATACGATTCTACAGGGGTGCTGTTAGTATTGCAACACTGGCGAAAACCCGGACAAGCACGCTGGGTCCCACTTCTTGATACGAAACGAATGGATCGCCTTAGCAACGGACGGAAAGAAGAGACGTACTGGCCTGTCGCAGTGGCACAAGATTCCTTCCACTGTATCATTCTCAAAGGCGGAGATCGCTACCCCTATTTTCCCCGACCACTGCTCAGTGAATTCGAATTCAAAATCCCCATCTCCACGAAACCGAACAAAAACCTCACCGCGGATGGTGAGGATGAAACCATGGACGAGTCCACGGGGCAAGACTCTATTAACAAACTGGAAGAAGCGTTTATACGTTCCAGCCTTTTCTTCAGCCTGCTGGATGACCGTGTCGCCGCATCCGAAGCCACAGGTGGTAATGGAGATGTGGAGTTGCACAGGAAGGAAATTGATATCGACAAGACTATTTTGCAGCTGCTGGCTATTGAGTGTCGGGAGGGTGAAGAAAGGGGTATGAAGGCTCTTGAGCTCGTTTCTATGATGCGAGATCGTAGTGGAAAGATGTTGGATGCTGCGCGCAAAATTGCACTGCGGTATGAACGGACTGTTCTGGATGAGAAGATTAGGGAACTTGCGGAGCGGAGGCTTATGGGTGAAGACGATAATGAGGATGACAATGATGAATTTCTCTAGCTCTGGGTATGCGAGTCTGGTAACGCACGGAAAAAAATGTCTTTGCTTTTTAACTTTTTGTCGCGGTTATGGCATTCATGATTATTTAGATTTTACCCGTTAGGGATATACTAGGCGTGCATGGTAGTAGGTGCAATATATGGAATATTTCTATTTCTGGATATTACGGCGAATCTGAAGACCATCGAACAAGCCGATATAGGCCACTTGGCAGGGAGAATTTACCACAAAGTTTCGGAAGGCGACTTGTCTAAATCAAATCATGTTGAGCTATTGTAACATTGAGGTTGGTTAATGTAGCCCAAAACATAGATTTAAAGCGACGTCATTCCGCCAAGATGCGCTAATCCCAATCCGCAAACACATAGTTAATTTCAACCTTCGATTATTAACTGGTTGTTAATTCTCCACAATCCTAGCAAAGAGCTATATGAAAAGTCCACAACACAGTACACCACTCTCAGCAGATATCATGCACTCTCCGTACGCTTTGAAATGACTCACTGGCCTCCTGTGATGAGCCATATGATGCCGTAACTCCACAGCCATGCCCAAGGTTCGTTTCCTGCATCTCCGCCAGAACAGCGTCCTCTACTCCCATCCCAGTTCCCCACACGGGCCTCAGGGCGGCAAGTTATGTCCTGAAATGATACAGCTCTGTGCCCCTCGCCGTGCGCATATACGCGAACCCCGTAGATGCCTAACCCAGATCCGCCACTATGCCTCTGCAGAGCTGTGGTTCACGGCGAATACGCCAGATTACTCGTTTACAAGCAGTCCCCAACGATGGAGTATGGGGCTAGGCAATGATGATGGTAACGGGGACCATAAGCCGCCGGATAAACGTATATTAAATCTTGGGAAAAGTATGGACTCTCATTTACTATGATATATATATACGTCTCTACATTTCATATATTGCTGTTACGGCTCCATGGAATGAATAATTTACTAACTATTCCCCCTTTACCATCATAGCTCTCCGCATCCTCTCTTCCCATCTCCCAAGTATTCTCGTCAATCCACTACCCCAAGAGATTCTTTCTCCAAACGTATCTCTCCATTTATTCCCTTCAACACATCCCCACCTCCCCACAGTCAAAGGCAGAGTACCCTACCGCGCAGCACTCTGGACGGCACCAGTGGCCTGGGGAAGTGTTCCCATAGTTGGCAATGTTAGGCTCGAGATCATGAGCGAGCGGATGGTTAACGCACCATCCATCGTAGCCTATGATGACGAACATAGATACGGAGATGAGAAACTAGTTGTCCGCTGGCGAACAGAGGGCGGCAGCTCGGATTCCCCCAGCTACTTTAAAAAGTCGAATGATAGCGATTCACCACCTACCATTGGAGCGACGACGAGGAATTCTACCACTACCAACGGAGAGTCCGCAAACAAGTCAACGATGTCAGCATTATCATCTTCATCGAACGGGACGAATCGTGGCCTGAGCAAGTTGCTAGGCGGGGACGCACCGATTTTCAAGCTGGGCAAGGAAGAGCAATTTAGCGGCCTGTTTATTTTCCTGTTCGATGATCAGGGCCGTATTGCCAGCCACACCATTGAACATGCGGATGAGAATAATGGGTGGGATAGAACAGCTAGGGTTGTCACCTTGACGGACTGGCTGCTGGGGAAGGCCAAATGGGGGGGTTCCCGCGGTGATGCTGGCCCCACGCCGGCGCTCGCTGTGGGTTTGGAGCTTTCGCAGCGGAATCAAATGATGTTCAAGTAGAGGTCTGGACATATTTCTAAATGATATGCCTTCAACCTCGAACACAGGCGATTGTGCCACCTAATTAGCAAGCCGCCACAGCTAGGGTCGTGGCCAGCACGATGCCATGATTGATTTCTTTTTTCGAAATAGCTTTCAAATTCTTGGTCTTTTGCATTCTTGTCTACACTGGCGTCCTCGGGGAAATGTATTCCTTTTTCCCTATCATCCTCCTTTTATTTCATACTTTCACATCATTACCTTTTCTTTAATTCATTGATCAAATTCCCTGCTTCCATTTTAATACTGATATGGTATTCCCGTGTTGAAGAGATGGAAAATCTTTGAAACCTTACAATTGGAGGGCGGTGGCTGCAATCCGGGAAAAGGAGAACATCGTTCAGAACTACTGCCTGCGGACTTTGCTGTGTTTCCTGGGCTGTTATCAGAAGTAACTGATAACCTGTACATTACTTTTTACGTGTCTTCTCCTTCCAATGTCCTCTTCTTTTTGTAGTGTATCTTGAAACATCAGCGCGGCGACTGAAAAGCTTTCTGATTCCAATCCATCTGGACGGTCATGCTTTCATACATATACGTACACATCCACTCTATCAAGGAGAATCAAAATCTCTCCGCTTCACCACAATGATCTTGCTTTTCGTCCATATAAGTTTACTTTTCAACATGGAATGCAGTGTAGTGATAGATCACCTCTCCACAACCCACAGAGGGCCGCAAGAAGTTGATATCTAGACAATCCCACTAAGCTATGCAGATAGCGCAATATATATTCAGGTTCAAACCTATTTTACCCCACTGTCCGGAGGATCTCCCTTACATTATTAGCTACTAATCCTGTCCTGAGTAATGTCGTTTTCTTCCTGATATATCAAAAGATGCATGATATCATGAGAAGACCAACAATAGATTTCCAAACGGGCCTCCACAACTTCAGGAGTTTGTTAATTATTTAGCCGCACCACGCCGTAAATCCTTGACGTAATCAAATGTCTCGTATATACCATTTCTTCAAAATTTGTCCCAAGGGCCTACGGGCTGCATCATTCATGTAAGCACAACGGCAGCTTAGAAGCTGGGCTCCAAATTGGTTGGGCGAACTAGCCTCGTGTATACACTCGCTGAACCACTTTGCCCTCGTTTAGCTTCAGCGGCAGCGCCTCATGTGTGGAGCGTCCGAAGTTCTGATGGTGAGTAGGTTGTGGTGAAGGTCTGCAGACTCGACACGATAGATTTTAAAGCAAATTTCCAGAGAGAGATCACTCAATCTCGGAAGTTCAAGGGAAGCACGTCACATCCGACAAACTATTGGATATTATCAGAGAGGAGGCGACGGACAAGGAGGAGGTGTATCGACCAAGCAATAATGCTGGAATGGCTCTCTGAGATGTTGTGAGATGCCCATTCAAATGATCACCTACCTAGCTTCGATCTTTCAGGTATTTTATGAAAGATTATTATGAAAGATGCTCTGCAAGGTATTCCAAAAGCTGTACGACAAAGGGTTATTCACCTTGGTTCGACTTCACCCACAGGCTCTGATTCTCTATTTCTACGGATAATAAAATTATCCATGTGATCCGAACATTAAAACCCGGAACGCTAGACTTTGCGGTACTGAAGCGAAGTTATCTGATCTCCGATCAACATGAGCTGTCCCCCGCCTTCCGTTGGAGTGGCATAGCCATGGCCTGCCGCAGTCCAGAAATCCTGTTTGATTTGCAGTGGTCCAAGGAGGTCAATATCTGGGACTGGGGGAGGCTGCATGTCTGTTAACTATCCAACAAAATATGTTAACTGTTCCTAAGTGCTGATCTATAAAAGCATCTACATATGATCCACATACACCTCCATCCCATATCTGAGGACTGTATGATCCATTTCCCGATGAGAGGGCCGCTGACAAGAGTCAGAAATACGAAGACAGAGTCCGGTTTGACATATTTCACACTTTTCGACTCAAAACGACATCGTACTATCAACACAATGCAAGGAACGCTGGCCTGAGATCGACCCGGAGAGAGAAGAAATCACGCGAAGGGTGATCTTGAAGCATTTTTTAGTTTTCAGAGAAGGACATTCAGTAACTAGAAAACGTCCTCGTCCCTGACCCTGGGACATGACCCACTGATAAGGAGAATATATGCAATGGGTAACCTGATACAAAAAGACAGAGATCAGCGTATGCGAGTCGAGTGATACACGCCTTGACAAATAATTCAAGTTTATCGTGACAACAACAGTTGTACCATCAGAACGAATGTTGATACTCCCTTTGTGGAAAGACGAGATGAAGCACAGCCTCAGGAAGAAATAGCGAGCATGCGCCGACTTTGTAGCAACAGGTTCAGCAGCACGAAGGGTCAGCTGAAATTGCAGCTAAATAGAATAACGGTGCCAGTCACCCATAAGAATTTCTCATTATAGACAATGCGACACGTAACTTAGCGTCTGATACACCTGTCTGATTGGAATACGTGAGGTCCTTTTTACCCGACATCTTTGATAGTGATACCCCCCCGTATATACATGTTCGTTGATTGTGTCAGTTTGCGCTTATTTTGAGCTGTAGTTGGGGAGTGACCAATAGAATAGCTCTATTTTAAGCTTAAATTTAGCTTTTCCGTCGTGAGATGTGGAGGTAGCGGAGCAGCAAAGTCAATTTGCTAGCATGCAATTATAACTAGGTACACTACAGAGTGGCTATTTAGTTGCAGATAACCAAAGGCGACAGTTAGAAGGTAGCTCAAACAATTGATCAGGGTAGATTTTTTTTTTTTTTTTTTTTTTTTTTTTTTTTTTTTCAGATGAATTATTTATATTATTCTATATTACATATATTACACATAACTGACGATAAAATGCCTGCGCTATGCTCAATGCGGAGGTGGAGGTGTAGTGTTCGTCTATACCAGCAAAAAGGATTGAGTAGGGGTAGCCAAAGTAAATATATCCGAAATCCCAAGATAGGAAACAATCCGCCCGGACATTATTAAACAATGAGCCAGATTGCACCCTACGTACCACTCTCAGATCGGCCTTTCCTGCATCACCACGTCCCTCACCGGAAATGCGATATACCCGGAAACCCAGTCTAGGAAAGCCCTTTCGTCCAAAAGGAAGAGTAGATAACAACACACACGCACACGCACACGCACACACACACACAGAGAGAGAGAGAGAGAGAGGGAGAGATTCATATCCTCTTCTTCGAGGTAACAGGCGCCCTCAACCCCCCAAATACAAGCGCACAAACCCCCAACATCCCCACACCACCAACCAAATACGCCAGCTCCCTTCCGGCCCACCAAAACAGCGTGCAAAATGCAACCGGGCCCGCTGCCCTCCCCACCTGACCCCAACTCCTCAATCGACCCAAAAACACCCCCCGCTCTTCCTCCCCCGCCTCCAAACTGCCCAGGCCATTCAGACCAGTGACAACAGTTGCGCTGGTGACTGCAAGCAGGCAGCCGGCAGCGTAGAGGCCGGATAGAGTGGAAACGCGAGAGAGGAGGAAGAAAGATACGGTGCATGCGACAACACCGATGCGCACGGTGATAAGAGGGGGGAGACGGCGGACTAGGGTGCCTTGGAGGAGGGAGGCGAGGAGGCCCATTACGGATAGCAGGCGGCCGTTTAGGGCAGAGGGGGAGAGGGTGGTGTTCGTGGAGGTGTAGAGGGTAGCTGTTAGGAAGGGGAGGGAGAATTCGAGACCGGAGAAGGGGAGGAGGAAGAGAAAATGGGTTATGTTGAGGAGGAAGGGGGGGTTCGTGTATTTTTTTGGTGTAGACGTAGATGTTGTGGTGGTGGCAGTGAGTGGTTTTTTCTCTGCTTCCAACCCATTTTTTTCAGGCAATTGGTCACCTTTCGTAGCCGTAGTTGTAGCATACGCACCTTGGGTCTTGAACTTCGCGAAGCGTGGATGTGTTTCCGGCAGACAAAAATACAGGTATACCGTCTCCGTCACGATGAGCAGCAACGAACACCCCGCCGCCGTGGCAAATGGATTGTCCGTCACTGTAACGATTCCTGACAACGCAGCCCCCATCGCCGGCCCAAACGTAAACGCAACACTAAAACACGCCCCAACCAAAGCCATCGTCGCCCCCCTCTGCCCCTCATCACTTATATCCGTCGCAATCGAATTAGCAATCTGCACATTCCCCTCACTCAAACCCCCAACAATCCGACTGCCCAGGAACGTCCTGAAATCCGTCGCCGCAACCCACAATGCCACACTGGCAATGTTTCCGGCCATTGAGCAGAGGAGGGCTGTACGGCGGCCGCGCTTGTCGGAGAGACTGCCGATGAAGGGGGCTGCGATGGCTTGAAGGAAGGAGAAGAGGGAGCCCAGTGCGCCGCCTAGGAGGACGATGTCATAGCGCGAGTCAATGGGGCGGGCGAAGGCATTTTTGTAGGCATTTAAGTAGTGGAGGATACGGTGGAGAAGGGAGGTCGGGGAGGGGTTGCGGTTGAGGTAGAAGGTTAGGAGGGAGGGGAAGAGGGGGAGGATGAAGGTGAAGGAGATCTGGACAATATGAGTTAGCTATTTTGGTGCTCCTGGAAATATATATATGTGTGTGTGTCAGCTTACTAGGTCTAGGAGGAGAGATATAAAGAGGACTTTGAGGATCTGTTTCCGTTGTGATGGTGATACGGTGGTTGCGACCATGTCTTTTGGATGTGGATGTGCTTTCGAAGCAAAGCAGCGAAAAGCGGAACAAGAGGATTAACAAAGTTTTCAGGACATTCTGAGATATATAGATACATAGGGGGATTTTTAAGCAGTGACAAATGGCGTGAAACGCAGAAGACACAGGTCGTTTTGAAGAGCTGAAGCTGAAGCGTAAAAGTAGAAAGAAAATATTTGGTATGGTCATCGCGGCTGGATGGATCGGCATCGGGACACGTGGCGATTAGCCTGAATCGACGGAATGGAAAGTTAAAAACCTCGATAACTCGAAAAAAAAAAAAAAAAAAAGACATTTGGATATACAGAGGGGGAGGTGAAATAAAATCTTATTACTTTTCTGGTCGTATGGTTGGTTTAGTTTCATCTGCGGAGAATTGAATACTTTTAACATTTCTACATCTACATTTGTATCTGCATCTCCAACCAATCCCTCTTCAAACCAACTCAAAAAGGCAGAAACAAAACGAAAATGTAAGATAGCTTCTTGAACCAAATCGCAATTATCTTTTGGTATGTCAGATCAATACCGCTCGCTAAACAAATGCCGTAAGTCATATAAACACACACCCATGAAGAAACTGGCTTTTTTCAGGGGCGGAAAGAGAAGGAGAGAAACAGAGAAGGGACCCTTATAAAACGGCCCGGGAACGGGAAGTGGAAGGGAACAGAATTGGGTCTCTAATACCCAATCATATTTTCCAAATTCCCCAAAATGAAAACGAGAAAAGAAGAAAAGGCAAGAGAGGCAAGACCCAAACAAGATGCATTTTCTTTTTCCTTTTCAACATCTTGTGTTGAGGTGAGAAAGGAGAAAAAAAGGGAACAGATATATCCATCTCCATGCGGCACCAGCCATCAAATTCATCCCACGTGCTCTAATAAAGCAGAGCTGGGGAGGGGGAAGTAAACGCTCGGGAGGGAAATAAGGGTAGATAAAACTACAGGGAGAACATATGTTTGAGCGGCGGGGGAAAAGACGAGTAAAATTGTGGGAAGACGAAACGCTGGAAAAAGGGATCTCTTTTTTTTTTTTAACGTCGGTATTGAATTAGAACGTAGAAGGAAGAGTGTGTATAGAAGATTTTTTGAACACGAAAAAGCAAGAAAGAAAAATGGGCAAAATGCGCGCTTGAAAAACACAAGATAGAATTCAGAGGAACAAATCAGAGCGCCTATTTCTTTTTTGAAATTTTAAAAGAATCTCTCCACTGATGAAATCAAGGAGCCAATGCTATCGAAGAGAATTATTGGTAAGAGGCATTGAGGGTTTGGAAAGGTTTTGTTTTTTTTCTTTGATTTATTATTCATCTTCCAGTTTCGATTCGTTGACTTCGTGAATAGTCTTATTATTGAAAACGTTGTGTTCGCCACTGGCGACGAGGAGGGTGAGAGCAAGGGATGGAGAATGAATGACAAAGGCAAAGAGTGAGATGGATATGAGAAAAAAGGGATGCCCGTCCAGGAATCAAAAAATGGTTATACGGTAGAAATTGAAGCGCAATGCATGTTTTGATATGATGTCAAAGCAAATAGAGAGCATTGGAGGTGAAAGATCGAGTCACAGATAGACCGTATGCGACTTTTGTTCGTTACCCTAGCCTAGGGATCAGAAGCTTCCTAACACGACTGCTTAAGCAGGGATGCTTATGCCATGCGCTCCGCAGCATGGGGTGCCGGTTGAGTTTGGCCGTTGTTACTATACCCGCCACGACCACGACCACGGTATTCTCCACCACGACCACGACCGCGGCCACGATATTCGCCCCGGTCACCACGGAAACCTCCACGTCCACGGAATCCCTCACCACGAGGTCCACGACCGCGGAAACCTCTGCCGCGTCCGCTGTTTTGCCGGGTATGGTGGCTAACAACTGGCTTGAAACCGTCATTTGGTTCTGGAGTTGTTCCATCTACGGAGGCTACGGCCGGAATATCCTCCGCCCAGCTACCAGAGGTTGGTGGTAGTGCATTTTGCGTCGTGGTGCCTTCCACGTCAGCCTTCTGGACTTCGACCCAACCCTCAGCAGCGGTAGAGGCAGACAAGTTTGATCCTTGGTTATCCCATCTCATTTGAGCTACGGCGTTTGCGGAGTCGCTACCAACGATAGATTGCATAGGAACAGACGAGATTTCTTGGTGTTGAGGGTTTCCGGAGGCTGAGAAGCCATTGGTGGTTGGGTGTTGTGGGGCGGACAAGGAAGGATTATGTAGTTCGGTCAAACCAGCGTTGACCAAGGTAGGGTCGCTGGAAAAATTGGCCTCAGCGTTAGATGCTGACTCAGTTGCCGGGGCTTCCTCAGTCCATGCGTCAACAGCAGGGGGAACATAGTCAAGAGATGCTTGCTTAACCCTCGAGTCTGTTGTCTCATAGCATTAGCTCCGTAATATATGTAAAAATCAAACATGAATCGCCAATTGGAAGTGGTCCTTACAAGGAACATCAAGTGGCTCAGCATCAACACTTGGAACAGTGTCTTCCGCGCCATCAATCAGTTTAACCATAGCATTGACAGCTTCCTCAGTTCCTCCATAAACCTGGAACAGCGCACCTTCAAAGGCACGGCTGTCGCTGGAAGTCTCATCGCCAGAGCGTCTCATAGCAGCCGCAGCGCGTAAAAAGCGGCTGAGCACCAGCAATCTTTCTCTGAATTCCTTCTCAGCGGATGCCAATGTTTCTGCCACGACTTTATCTTTGAGAGCATCCAGATCACCCTTGTGAGCCTTTTCTAGGTCTGCTTTCTGGTTAACGAGGCGGTCTTCATAGTATTGTCCATATATTTTGTACTGATTTATCTGTTCCTCAATCTGGGACACGGCTGCTTGAAGGCCAGGTTTCTTTAAAATCTGGGCCTTTTGGTCTGCATTGATCTTCTTGTCAGCAACCAAGTCATCAAGGGATTTGCTTGGGTTTTCAGCAACAATTGCATCAACTTTGGAGGTAGCATTCTAGAGAAACATGTCAGTGAATAAACAGTAAACAAAACATATCAATCAGCAGCAAAAGATATTCATTGAATCACATACAAGTTTTTTAACAGCATTCCGGAGGCTCCTACGAAATTAAGAGAATGTCAGTTTTGCATTAGAAGAAAATAAAAAAGTTTTCTTTCACAAAGCCCTATCAATGAATGTAAACGTACTTGTACAGCTCTTTCAGAAAGGCAGGCTCATGGGTACCACCAGTCACGACATTTGTTGCTGTTTCCGCAGCGGCGGTTCCTGGATTTGAGGTATCTGCAACAGCAGCGGAGGCGCTGGAAGAGCTCTCGCCTTTGCTACGCTTCTTCTTGGCTGACTTGGACTCCGATTGGGGAGAATTGTTGGAAACAGGAGCAGACATGGCTGGAGGGTAACGTGGAGTCGTGTGACTGGGAACGCTAGGAGGGATTCCACCGGTTTAGATGAGTAGTAGAACAGAAAATCGCGGGGGACGCGTTGAAGTGTATTTAGAGTGTAGCAGTGGCTAACTAAACAGGAGTAAATAGCAGGCAGAGGGCTTGAGGATTGTTGTAATCGTTGTGGCTGTTGTTGTGTTGAAGGAGGAGAAGTAGAAGTAGAAGTAAAAGAAGACGTGAGAGGTTGTTGAGGTTTGCGGAGAGAGCTTTTAGTCACAAAGAGAAGGCGGCAGAATCTGCTCGACGGTCAGGCCGGGGTTGTCCCAACATCGGATCTGGCTTGAGAGGATCTGATCAACTGGGGAACATTTAACAGAACCCCAGAATGCAATGCAATCCTGCTTTTCTTCTAATGGATCGCGGAGATTGAATTTAATTAATTAATGTAAGCAAACTACTGGAACACTATTTCATTTCAATCTGAATCTATCAAATCTTCAATATGCTCATCAAATCAAAAGAATCAAGCTTTCAACCAGAAAAGAAGCCCAGTTTTAGTCATTAGAGCGTATGAAAATAAGCAATTTTCAAGCATGCAAGAGACTGTCAAGGAGTATGATGTCACTCTCTCGAACCTATTCTATCAATTATCAAGGTAATCAAAAGCTGATTTTTAACAAAGAAGAACTTCTAGTTAGTTTATTTAAAAAAAAATATATATATTTATAAGCTCTTGCCAAGAGTTAATTGAATCTCGTCAAAAGTGCTGTCAAGCTGAGCGCTGCTTTACTTGAGCTCTCGTCTGTTATAACATCTCAAGCTTAGAATTAATCAGAGCTTTAAGATTAGAAGTTTTCATCTTAGAAACATTTGAATGATAGGCTTTAGTTGCTAGTCATTAGCTCTAATCATGCACTTTGTACCTGAGGCTATAAGTATTAAGATAAGGTTTAACTATTATCAAATTTAAACATATACTCTGTCAAGTTTATTTTTTTCTCTATGAAATATTAATTGAATAATATTTGAGAGTATATATTTTTGTATCATGTGACACCCCTATCAAAACTTGATTAGAGCATTTAAAGCAACTATAATATAAAAAATTAATCTTGTTATGTTATAGTATCTATATAATATTTTATAATTAGTTTAATATTTTTGATAACTTTTTATTAACTATTAATCCTATTATATTTTATAGATTAATTTATATATGTTTTTATTAAATTATATTTAAAATATTAATTAAAAATTTAAAATTTTTTTAATTTAATAAATATTAATTTATAATTAAAATAAAGATTAAAAATATAAATATATTAAACTTAGTTACTGATATAAAATAATAATTATATTTAATTAAATAATTTTATTAATAATTAATAATTTTAATAAATTAAAATTAAAAATATTATATATAATTTAAAATAAATTATATATTAAATATAAAATATAATTGACTTTAATTTAAATTATAAAAAATATTAAATATATATAATAAATATATCAATAATAGCAGATATTTCAAAAGAACTAGAATGTAATAATAATATGTGAAATTATCTCCAACAAACTTGTATGGAAAAGGTAACACTCTGAAGATAGAGGAGACTTAATCAACATTCCATTCAGGGTATCATATATAAGGGTGCCAGCTAGCCGATTAGCAAGAATTGGAACGCCAGGAACGCATTAGCTCATGCAGTTCTCTATAATCCAATCCACTCAAGAGATGACAAAGAGAGAAACTTTAAAATTTCTATCCTTTGAATTTCCGTAATGTGCCCTAAAGGAAGAGAAAGAGTAGAATCCAGGATATCGAGGTCAGCCAGTGCATTGCAAATATAGATGGGGAGCACACCCACCTCAGTCACTTTGCGGATGTTTCTAGCGGAGATAGCTTTCTCCCCACTTCTCCTCGAACGAATAAAAGCCTCGCGCATCAGTCTGAAAAATCAATTATGTAAGTACGCAAATGCTCGGCGGGTTGAAACGGACACCCCAGCACAACTTCGACTTCTAGTAAAGGTTAAAAACAACTAACTCTTCCATAAAGAGTATATAGTCTAGGAATATCTGCAGAATTCAACGAGGGAATTAGAAACCTGATTCAAGAGAGTACCGGAATATAACTATCTCTCTATACAACATCTTATGCGCAGTAATGGTTCGAACTCACCAAGACATCCGCGTTTTTGGATATATTTCGCTTGGTATGGGCTTTCACGATGCGCTTCACTGTTGCGCGAGGATAGATCTTGGGAGCAACCACCATGGTTAATTTGCAGATACGAACAGAGTGACAACAACGGATTCCTCTTTGCTTCGGCTGAAAATGGCACCGTCAGAATTGGAATACTGAGAAGCGACTTCGTCCCTCTTATACACGCAACTGTGTGTCTCGACAGCAGATGATGGTTTTGAGTTAAAACATACCTGCTGGCATCGATGGTTGGTTTGTTTTCACACGAGCCTCCTGCTTGGCTCTAACCAAATGGACGCCAAGCTATTTCACGTGATACAGCGTCAGCGGTTGCGTCATAGCGGAGTATATATAGTCCGATACTTGTTCACTTGAAACCCCGATTCGGAATAATATATCGGAATGGGGCGATACAAGCTTCTGATTGGCTGTATGATTCCCCGCCATCGCCAATTACCAAATCAGGAAATCAACGAAGCTTCATCTTCCATCTTCATCTACGAATTGGCAGCGAACAACGACACTCTGCAACTGTCTTTGGGCTCAAGAAGCTGTATCTGGGATTGGATGAAGCCTCAACTGGTGTGCTTCTTCTCTGTCTACTCTATTCGGTCTCGGAAAAAGCAGATCAATTCAAGTTGCATGAGATCGAGCTTGTCTCTCTGGGCACAACTTCCTCACCGTATCGTTAACTTCACACCTCGTCAAATCCCTGGGTAATCGATCTGTTTATACAGCTGCAATCCTGAAGATATTTTCCTCTATTGCGGCTGCCATGCGTTTCGGTCATACCCTGGAAAAGTCTATATACCCGCCTTGGAAGAACCACTACATCGACTACAACAAACTAAAACGACTGCTTCGCGAACATGAAACTAAAGGCAGCTCACAGGATGGAAGCGACGATGAGACTCCGGAATGGACTGAGCAGGATGAAGAAAACTTTGTGCAGGAGCTGATTAACGTTCAGCTCGACAAAGTCAATGCATTTCAGGTTAACACCTACAAACAACTGCGGGATCGAACCTCGCAGTGCGAGGCAAAACTGGAGCCTTTGGTTACAAAGGAAGATGGAACCCAGGTGGAAGATGCGGACAGGAGAAAGGAGATTGCTCGGAGTGCCATGAAGGATCTTGATTCTATTACCAAGGAGGTCAGTGAGCTGGAGAAGTTCAGTCGTATCAATTTCACGGGCTTCCTTAAGGCGGCGAAAAAACATGACCGGAAACGAGGTACCCTCTACAAGGTAAAACCGTTACTTCAAGTGCGCTTGTCCCATCTGCCATTCAACTCAGAAGACTATTCCCCACTTCTCTACCGCCTTTCGACCATGTATTCTTTCATCCGTCAGGATCTCGGCCAGCGACCCTCCGAACAATCTGCTGAAGGGGGTCCCGCTGTAGATACACACTTGGGGCAGGATGCGTATACCTCTCATAAGTTCTGGGTACATATGGATAATGTTTTGGAAGTGAAAACATATATTCTGCGCCGTCTACCTGTTTTGGTTTACAACCCCAATGTTTCTTCCAAAGAATTCCATATGGCACCGAAGGATCCCACAATTACCTCCCTCTACTTTGATGGCCCTAAGTTTGAGTTGTATAACCAAAAAGTCGCTAAGACTCCAGGAGCTAGCTCTTTGCGCCTTCGTTGGACTGGTCAGTTGAATGATCAGCCAGAGATTTACTTGGAGAAAAAAGCGATGGTGGATGGCGATAGCAGTAACGAAATTAGAGTCCGAATCAAGGAGAAACATATTAAACCGTTCCTAATGGGAGAGTACAAAATGGAAAAAACGATTCAGAGGATGGAGACCAGGGATGGCGGGGATTCGGAAAGCGCTGAAACTTTGAAAAAGAACGTTGAGGAAATCCAGTCATTTATTAAGGAGAAACAGTTGGAGCCCGTTCTGAGGGCTACTTATACTCGAACCGCGTTCCAGATTCCGGGCGATAATAGCCTTAGGATATCTCTTGACACCGACCTGGCCTTAATCAGAGAAGATTCACTTGATCAGGAACGACCATGCCGCGATCCCGATAATTGGCATCGCACAGATATTGACAGCAGAGAAATGGAGTTTCCTTTCTCAGAAATCAAACCTTTCGAAATCCGTCGATTTCCCTACGCTCTGCTAGAAATCAAAGTCCGTGGAGGCAACCTACGGAGAACAAATAAAGAATGGCTACTCGATTTAATGTCATCCCACCTAGTTAAAGATGCCCCCCGATTCTCCAAATTTGTCCATGGTGTGGCAGAACTCTTCGAAGACTACGTAAACAGCTTTCCATTCTGGCTCAGTGAGCTGGATACAGACATCCGTCGGGACCCAGAAATCGCATTCCAGGAGGAACGGGAGAAGATGGCAAAACAAGCCGAAGATGAACTTGCAGTGGGAAGCTTTCTAGGGAGCCGACAAAGCCCCGCAACCCGCCCCATGATTGGATCACCCATCCACAAGGACCTTTCCGTTGGGTCTCCAGTGGCAGTTGCAGCAGTAGCAGAAAGTTCAAAGGCAGCGAGGGGCCCAGCAGCAGACACGAGGCCCCTCGCCTCAGAATCCCTCCCAATCCCCATCCCAGAACCAGGAAAGGTCCCCTCCACATCCCACCTGCCACCCTCACGCCCATCTGGTCTCCTCTCCTTCTTCCCACGAAGAATGTCCCGCTACGCTGCAGCGCACAGAGCGCCCTCATCCCCTTTACCCCCCGGTATCCGCGAACCGGGGACCTGGATAAAGGATTCCGGCCCGGTCCGCGTCGAGGGCAAAGTCTGGCTCGCCAACCAGCGCACCTTCATGAAATGGCAGCATATCTGCGTCCTGCTCGCCTCGCTCTCTGTAGGGCTCTATAATGCTGCAGACGCCAATAATAACATCGCGCGCGCGCTGGCGATCGTGTATACGTGCTTTGCGGTCTTTGCGGGCGGGTGGGGGTGGTGGATGTACGTGCAGCGGGCGCGGTGGATTCGGGAGCGCAGCGGGCGTGATTTCGATAATGTGGCTGGGCCGATGGTAGTTTGTTTGGGACTTGCGGTGGCGCTTGTGTTGAATTTTTGGTTTAAGGTATTTATTTTATCCCCGCACGTTGTTTTCATTTTTATTCCATTGTGTCCGTATGACTAATTATTCGAATCAACGCAGTTTACCGCGACGGTATGGAAAGCTGATAAACCTGGTTCCTCCCCAAGTCCTATACCTGCAGCAAATGTTACCACGCACGATGCAGAAGGTGCGTGGATGCTGGTCAAACAAGCTGCCGCTGCTGGTCGAGGAGAGATGTAAATACGAACTTCCACCTTTGACATAAAACAACACGGCCGGAGTGAATGAACCACACGTGGGACGTGGAATATGTATCCATTATCTTTTGTATATGTAAATGAGCAATTCTAACGCTAGCCAGTGTTCAGTCAAGTTAGCTGGTGAATTCAATCAAGGAGGAAACAAAAGCAGAGTACAGTAACAACTTAGCGTTTTAATACAATATCTTCAAAATGAACATAAATGAAGAAGAAATGGAATAGCAATCTTGAGAGAATCAATCAATCAAAAATTACTGAAGAATAACATATACCCACATATACATGCACATACACAAATACACTTTGACTGATATAACTGCACCCAGTATGACCATTCTAGAATGAAACATAAATAAAGTAGCACAATGAGAGGGAGAAGAGAAACAGAACACACCTACACTGAAGACACGCATATGTGAGAGAACGTAAGAAAACTCCAACATCTTATTTTATACCCACACCCAACCCAACCAGCCCCATCTTAAAAAGGCTCGTAAAGCAGAAAGCGGGGAACAAACAAGTAAAAACATAAAAAGCAAACCTCCCATGTGCTTCGGGAACGAAACCAAATGCATCGTAGTAGAGACATAAATGCAAATACACGAAACGCGCCATACCAGTCACAAAAGAAGTGCCTAACCTAACCCCACCATTCTTGGGAAAACAGAAGGAAAAAAAGGTCAAAAGGAATGAGAAAGAAACGCCACGCCAAAGATCCCATACCATAAGAAAAATACATGAGAGTGGGTAGAAATTCAGAGACAATAGGAAAAGAAAGTCACGGCCATGGGCACTCTTGATAAAAAAAAAAAAAACGAATACTCCCATGTCCGTAGTTTTCTGCATCACAAGCCAACAGCAATCACGTTGGCTGGTACGAAGGGGTGTAGAGTACAAAGAGGAACAGACAGAGAAGTGAGAAGGGTACGTTAGAATAAGTTGGTTTAGGCGAGATTAGTCGATTTCTCGCAATTTCAACAAATGGATAAGCAACAACAACAACAACAAAAAAAAAAAAAAAAAAAAAAAAAAAAAAAAAAACAACGCTTGTTGTCTTTTGCGTTTTATCTGTGGTGTCAATTTCGTATTTCTTGCATCCCCTCTTATCTAGGAGGAATGATGGATCCGGAAATTCGAAGGGAAGTCATGATAGAAAGCATGCGTATGCGTGGCGCATTGAAATAAATGCCAATCGTTTCGTGCAAGTGAGCAGAGTAGAAAACCTTGTATGTCGAACGTGATAATTCTTGAAGAATTCCGAATGAAAATTGACGGAGGAGTGTGAGTTTATTCTCTGAATTTGTCAAATTTGTTGAACTTGGCCGTAATTAGATGCAATTCTGCGTGTTTCCCGCCGTTTGATGGTTGATATCTTTCGTAAGAAGCGGGTCGTGACGTTGTTAAAAGTAAGTCACCTGCCGCAGCTCATAGTCGGGAACGTAGTCGAACCAGTCTTTTCCCGGATTATATCTATATGCTTTGAACTCCACGCCGTAGGGTTTCTAAAAAGATCAATTAACACATGAAATAAGATAAAAAGCAAAAGAAAATCGAACAAAGCCCTCGAAAGGACTATACGTAAGTTCGTTTCGTTGTTCCGGAAAAGACAAAAACATACCGGCTCAAGCATATACAATACACCAAGCGGAACATCCAAATCCGCAAGTTGCTCCCTCTTCAACCCACGAAAATACGCCAGCAGCACTCGTGCCACAGACCGATGCGCAACTAGCAGCACACTATCCGTCATCCGCTCAACCTCCACAATCACCGCCTTTAATCGGTTAATGACATCCAGATACCCCTCCCCACCGGGTCCAGGGTAACGGTAGTGCAACTTCTCCCGCTTGCGATTGGCATATTCCTCCGGATACTGCTTGCGGATTTCCTCATACGTCATCCCTTCCATCTTTCCCGCGTTCAGCTCATCGAGCATGCGCATCTGTTTCACATCATATTCCTCGTCATCGAAGTATTGTACCGTCTGAATCGAGCGGATGAGCATGGATGACCAGACACAGAAGTTGCGCTGGCGCTCCGCGTTCTGGCCTGCGTATTGCGGATTGGGTGGAGTACTGTCACCAGGGCGTGGGGGGAAGTGAGTCGATAGGGCTTTGGTCTTCTGGTAATCTTCCCAGACCTTGCGCTGGTGGCCGATAAATCTTGTCAGAGCCTTTGAGAAAGCAATACCGTTCTTACTGAGGGATGAGTCTCCTCCTATCCTGCCAGCGACGTTGTCCAGACTTTCACCGTGGCGGCAGATCCAGATTTGGCGGGGGGAGAGGTTGAAGTTGACGAGATAATACATGACTTGGGATGAAAGGAAGCCGTTAACTTGGTGGGCAATAAGTTTACGGCTAACATCTATCATCTGTAAATAAGGCATGTTGTGCTTCTCCTCATAGTCTCCAAGAGATACGTATGATTTCTCATACAAGGAAACACGTTTCTTGAAGTCTTCCAGGGCAATGGTGGGGTCTTGATCCTTGTAATCGGGACCCGAAAGCTTGAGGCGCATATTCGATTCTAGAAGCTCCTTGTCGAGACATTGGCTTTCAAGGAACAGCACGTTGAGTTCTGGTCCAGCACGTTTCCTAATATGGTCCATGATGGCCTTGCGACGTTTCAGGGTACTGTTCGTCGCATCTAGGATTCCTATACTTCCCCCCTGCTCAAGGATGTAATCCAAAAGCTCATCCAGAGTCTCTAGGGCAACCTTCTCTCTCAGTCGAACCGCCTGCTCGTTTTCGGGATCGAAAAATTGAGCCGATTGGTCAATCGACCCAGCTCTTCTAGAATTTAGAGCTCCCTTTTCTGATGACAGGGAACTTGGGGTGAGAAATTGCACGTCGCTCATGGGGCTAGGGTCACGGTGGGTATCCTGTGCTTCTTCCGTCACGACAGCTTCTCCATTCACAAGAATAGCGGCGGGAGGCAACATCTCATGTTCGGTATCTAATTTATTCGAGGCACCACCATTCATGTTCATTTCGCGCACGGAGTCTCTCAATTCTTCCTCGATAACCGAATCCTTTTCCTCAGAGGGGGGAGGATTCGCAGCAGCAACACGTCGACGCTCGCCCACGTTAAAGATTTTGGTATCATGTTGCATCCAATTGAGGTACCGGCCCAGTTTCTTGGTTATGTAGCTTTTGCCACGTGCGGGCAAGCCCACCATAACAATGACCAACTTAGAGCCGACATCTCGTTGCGCAATACGGCCATCGGGGGAGACTTTCGACCTGGTTAAGCCCGGGATGTCCAGGGTGGTTGCACGATGTTTTCCTGGAGTGGAAGCACCGGAGGATTGGGAGCGAGCACCACTAAATTTAAGCACAGCAGCGATCAAAGCCGCCGGGACACACAGTAAGCTTGTGGTTAACATCCAATTATATGCAAGGGTTAGCAGAGGGGCAGTGGGGACTCGGGAACCCCCGAGGTCAGGTTGTGAATATGTGGCTAGATAAAGGGAATAGCCGTAGGACCGGGAGCTAGAGGGGGGAAATAGTTGCTTTCCACCCCTCAAAAGGGCCCCGCAGAGCCTACCAAGGCAAAGGCTATATACAACTAGCCAGGCACCTTCACCCAGCTTCCAACGCTTGGACAAAAAGGAACAGGAAAAGAAAGCAACTGAACTGACATTAGCGGGGATGGCGGTGCGGTTGAAACCGGAGTATCTGTCAGGGCAACCCCTACACCGTCTCGGCACACGAGTGCGTGGGTCGCCCCAAGGCTGCGAGGGGCAGCATGATGATGATGATGGTGGTGGTGGTGGTGATTGTGGTGATGCTCGGGAGCAAGGGCCCTCCCCACCACAGTTTTGTACGGACCTAGCATCACACTGGGATCGGGGAGACTGCTGGTATCGCTGTAGCTGGAGCTGAAGCTGGGAGGCCCAGGGACAGCAGCAGAAAGGTGATCTTCCACGTCCATTGATGAGGTCTAGTCGCAGGTTGGAGCCGGGAGCCGCAGCCTCGGAGGGGAGGGACGCGAGGCTCGAGGCTGTTGGGGGGCAAAAAGGACAGAAGGCGCTGACTGGCCGGGCGGGGCAGACTTGGCCGTGACTCGGTGGGGGAAAAGCAGCAGCTGAAGCAGTCCGGTCCTGGGGGAGTTTGAAGCACTGCGTAGCAAGTAACTGTTTAACATGAATATCTGTGTGCGTGCGTGCGAAAGGATGGACATATAATTAGGAAAAATTGATTGTAGAAACAAGGGAGGTAGATCGTAACTTTAACTAATTTCTGTGCCTGTGATGTAATAGATACGCCACTCCAGGCGTTTATTCCAGTCTTTTTAAGCTTCATTCCCAAAGTTACCAGGAAACAAACAGTGGAAAATATAAAATCAGCCAAACAAAAATTATTGTATGGGCAAGGAATCCATCTACTGTTTGAAATCTTGTTTTCATTACCACAGCATTCTGTCCAATAACATAGACACTGTTCGGTTTCAACAGACACAGTGAATCACTCTTTTCACACAGAACACAAGAAAGAAGCATTCATGGACAACATTTTTGCATCTAGATGTTTGACAGCAGAACTTTTGATTCTCTCAATGCTGTGCCATTCGGAAACACAACACCTTCCCCAATATCATGTTGCGGCAGCTCCGGCTCTCTTGCGGGGTATGCTGGTGTACCTTTCCATATCAAAACCAACGACAGAACAGACCGTCAAAACCCCCTCTCACCCATTTCCCTTCCAAAAAACCAACTGACCCATCCAAGATTCCACAAGATTCCACAAGATTTCCGTAAATATGTGAAATATCTGGATCTGGGCAGAAATCCAGATATTCACTTGGATCACATCTTGGTTATATAGATGCATGCACACGTGTGCTGGCGGTATGTCCGTAATACTCAGAGATCTAGCCGCGGGGCTTGTTGGGTTTTCCCCATCTGAAAACCAGTTGTCCTCCAATTTCCGTCCTGGAAAGACGCTGCAGATATCTCCCCCTCCATTTCCATATGAGATTCTGGGCCTAGAACCATTTTCGAACCAGGTTTTCCAATCCATGCTCTATAATAAATCACTATCTCTGCTGCAATCGTGTAAAAATTATCAGACCCAGCTCCACTCCCGCTTTAGAGACAACGAACCCATGACCACTACTGGATATAGTCTGGTAGTGCATTCAACGCCATGAGCTGAAGAAACCCAGAGAAATTAGCTGGACTTGGGTTTGAACTGGTCACCTCTCTGCTTCGATAGGTCAGGCGCTCTTGTCTAGGGTTAGGGCCTTGCAATGGCATATGAAGAGCATGCGACAGGAAATGTAGTCCGAAAACATACGTCGTTATATGCGTGGATCGTGATTCCCGAATGATGTTTACGGTGCTCTATGCACCTTGGCAAGTATGAGGCCCTAGCAAATTCCCCAATGCCCGGGTAGCTCCCGTCAGGGAGCGAATGCCAATTTCGGCAAATCCGTGGAACCATCCCAATAAGCAGCTAGTCGACGATGACCTGGAGGATGACCCCCAGAGAAAGTAAAACATCTCTCGACAAGATGCCAACTCTGTCCAACCTAGAAGCATCCGGACACCTTATATGTAGGACAGCGGTAGTAAGGCATATATAGAAACTCCCCAAGAAAGCTCATATACCTTCCCACCACCCGATTTCCAGTTTCCATTTCCCATACCATCTCCCATCACTAAACCAACCGCAACCGCCACCATCACATCTTCAACGTCAACGTCAACACCAACAAACACGCATATGCCGCAATACTCAACGCAGTCAACACAAGCACCACATTCCCACTCGTCCGAAACTTACGTCTCTGCAACCCATCCTCGCCCAGCTCGTTGAAAAACTGCCTATTACCCTGCTGGCGGCGGAACAGGCCTATCGTCAACACCCCCGCGCCGTACACGGCAAACAGCGCTCCGATGCTGTAGAACTCTGACGTGAAGATTTTGAGGATGATCAGGGCGAAGGAGAACTGGGAGAGGGAGGTGCGGATGTAGGCGCCTTCGAACGTGCGTTGGGCTGCGCGGACTTCAACGATTTCCTCCGGGGTGAGCACGACAGAGCGGGCACGGTGGAGGCGGAGGCGGTAGCGGTCCGCGGCGCGGCGCTGGAGTGGTGCAGATTGGTTAGTTATTGGAAGTGTTGGGAGGGGTTAACGGGGAGGGATGGTGTTGGGGAGGTTTGGTTGGTTGGTTGGTCGGTTACCGGATGAAAACGAACCTCGAACATAATGGATATTCTGGGGTGGGTACGTTGAGTGAGCTAAATTACCTGACAGCGGTCAGCTTTAGTCTGGGGTGAATGGCGTACGGATATCCTCACTCGACCTTCTAAGGACTCCTTCGCCAGCCGAAAGTGAATCTGGATACGAACAAGGAGCGAGTTAACCTGTTGGATGAGATCGCATCGTTTCGATTAGTCAGCGGCTCAGCGGAAAAAACTACAAGCGATGCAGAGAGCTCTGCATTTTGCAATATTCTACTCTCTGTATAGTTGCTTTTTACTTATTTTCGAGAACGGAAATCCTATTTCCAGCTGCTCAGCAGCTCTTCTTGTTTACTAGTTAGTTACCTTTCATTGTTATTTTCCAAGTTTGAAGATATTCTTTTAAACAAAGGGGAAATAGTTCTTCCCAGTTGGCAGTCGGCAGAGTCTCCTGGAGACATCATCGTTCCCTTCAGCTTAAAAGCTTTAACCAATTTCAGTTAAACTTAAGTAAGTTTGCCGCTAACCTCCAGCTATCCAACGCCCAAACTGCGGTTGATGGCGGCTGTGGGTTTGCCTAGAGTTTGGCGCTCCCCATCGCTGACGGCTACGTTCTGTCCACTTCTCGGAAACACTCATAACTCCACCCAGCAGATGCTCGCGGACAAGTGATATAAATTAATGTATTCGCTGGTCATAGCACCCATCTACACAATTTGTTATACCTCTTGTACAATAGAGATCTTTTTGAGTTGAATGCCTATACTCTGATATAGTTACCACTCATTTTTTCTGATATAAACCGCTCAAGGGCGTGATTGCAGGACTGTAAATATATAAAGACAAAAATCAGCATGGGTGGTAGGATTCTGAATGCTGCCGAAGGTAAGCAGAGTCCAATTACAGAGCAGTTAAATTATCTGAAGCAGAGGCTGATATCCCGTTAGTGGCCAAGCATAACACTAGAGACAGCTGCTGGGTTGTGCTCTACGGAAAAGTCTACGATGTTGGCATTCCTATATCACTTCCTTCATCTCCCATGTTTGCCATTAGGGCTTAGGAACTAGTGGGAGCATACACCTGCATTTACTGCATGCTAATAGGAACGGCATGACGTCCGGAAAATGTAATAAATAGGTTACGGACTTCCTCCCAAGTCATCCCGGTGGCGCCAACATCATCCTCCAGCTCGCCGGCAAAGATGCAACAGAGGAATTTGACCCCGTCCACCCCTCCGGCACGCTGGAAGACAATCTGAAACCAGAAGCGTGCCTGGGTCCTATCGACCCAAAGACATTACTGCCCAAGGCGGCCTCTTACAGCGCGGAATCCAATCACCAAACGGGTGCAGAGCAGGCATTCAATGAGACGCCTCCCATGTCCTCGCTCCTAAATATCGACGATATTGAAGCAGCAGCCACGCAAAAGCTTAGCAAGAAGGCATGGGGATACTACTACTCCGCCGCAGACGATCTCATGTCCAAATCACTAAATAACACCATATACCGCTCCATCCTCCTGCGACCCCGCGTCTTCATCGACTGCACCAACTGCGATCTCTCCACCAGCGTCCTAGGCTACAAACTCGGATTACCAATCTACGTCTCCCCAGCCGCCATGGCCCGCCTCGCACATCCCGCAGGCGAAGCCGGTATTGCAGCAGCCTGCTCCAAATTCAAGGCCATGCAACTAATCTCCAACAACGCCTCCATGACCCCTAAAGAAATCGTCGCCGACGCAGCACCAGACCAAGTCTTCGGCTGGCAATTGTATGTTCAAACAGACCGGAAAAAGAGCGAAGCAATGCTCGCCCGCATCAACAAGCTCAAATCTATTAAGTTCGTCTGTCTAACACTTGACGCCCCCGTGCCTGGAAAGCGCGAGCATGACGAGCGCACGCAGACAGTCACCCAGGCATCGTCAGTAACGGATATCGTCAAGGCGTCCGGTGGCACACCGCTCCCAAGCGCCAGCGGGATCGGCCAGCAGCTCTTCGCCGGCACGGACCCGTCATTGACCTGGTCGAAAACACTCCCCTGGCTCGCGCGCCATACGGATCTACCCATCGTGCTGAAAGGGGTGCAGACGCATGAGGATGCGTATATAGCCTCACTGCACGGACCGCAGGTCAAGGCGATTATATTGTCGAATCACGGGGGAAGGGCGATGGATACGGCGCCCCCTGCTGTGCATACGCTGATGGAGATTCGGAAATATTGTCCCGAGGTTTTTGACAGGGTAGAAGTGTGGGTTGATGGGGGAATTAAGAGGGGGACGGATGTGGTGAAGGCGTTGTGTCTTGGGGCTAGGTGTGTGGGTGTTGGTAGGGCGCCGTTGTTTGGGCTTGGGGCTGGTGGGGTGGAAGGGGTCGAGAGGGTGTTGGAGAGTATGTTTATATATCTTTCTTTTTGTTTTCTTCTTTCTCCATCTTCTTTCTTTCATTGAATGTCCCCCCCAGACGCCATAGAGAGTGATAACTGATAACTGCTAACACCTCCGCACAGTTCTCTCCTCCGAAACCAAAACGGCCATGCATCTCTTGGGCGTTGGAAGGGTTGAGGATCTAGGAATGCAACATGTAAGTCTCTTCATGACCCTTATATAAAAGGAGAACAAGGTTTCAATGCATCCGCCATCTAACTCACCATACGCCAACAACACAGATCAACGCCCGTGCAGTAGAACAACAGATATACGATGGTCCCGCGGGACTACATGTCTTAGGTCACTTTGTAAGACCCAAATTATAATTTCGATATTTGGTATGTTTTTAGACCAGCTGTTTTGGAAAGACATATATACAGATTTGAGACATCTTCGGGATTATGATACTACTTTACCTCAAATCTAGATCTATGCAGAGAATACAATACAAAAAGGCCTTCAGATCAACCGAATAATCTTTGAAACGAAGAAAATGTCGGTAACAATCTCGGGTATAGGTTGAAACAACAAAACCAGGGGAGGATATCTGCGTTTAACCAAGAAGACGTAGATCCTGCAATTGAAAATGACCTTGGAGAAAGGGCAGAAAATGGAAACAAATCGCGTTAAGAACACAGACGACAAGATATCTCTCAAAATCTTTGTTTTGAATGGCGTACAGCGACATAAGATATCTCATACGGGGACAAAAGGCATGCGCCCCTTAAAAAATGGGAGAAAGGGGAAAACAAAATGGAGGGGAGGAGGTAGGGGGGGAGGGTAGCTTTCAGAAGCAACCCATTTACTTCGTTCACGTCAAGTGAATCGGACTGGGGATTTTCGCTTCGGCGGCGTACTCTAACTCTACTCCCAGAGAGGCGTTTAGAAGGGAATTGGGGAGGTCTTAAAAAGCAAGAGGCCCAATACCTTGATCTCTAGAAGGGAACTCCCCGGGCAGGTATTTTGGGTCGTCCACCGCGACCACTCTAGAGGTTTCATTTGAGGTTAGCCTGATGGCACCCGATGGCACGATGAGAGGGTTTTTTATGCTATAGTAAAACCGAACACCCGCCTTCTCTTCAAGGTACCCGTCCAGCTGTTCGTCATCGTAGGTAGCTTATCTCAGCATCAGTGGAAAATTTTCGGTGACATTGAGTTAGTAGAATCCACGGCGCTTGGGTTTCTATAATGAATGCCAACAGCACGCAGAGGTGGAAGTTCTGACGAGATACGAAGGTGGTTGGATATAAGAGCTGGACGCCGTAAGCAGGTGTTGAACAGGGCTGCGACATCACTAATTAGAGAGTTAGGTACGGGAATTGAAATGGGGTTGGTTTGACGTCTTAATCGTGTTCTAGTTACTACAGGAAGGTTGTGCATAACATCTATCCCACCGTACCAGCCTACCAGGGTTTGCTTGGGTAAACCCCCCCCCCCCCCCCCCCCCCCCCCCCCCCCCAAGGCTGGGATATTTAATTCTGGACAAAACAATCCTGGACTGCTGCTAAAATAACTAATAGCCTTGGGTGGTTACTCCGAATCTAAAACGACGTGTCGACAGAATGTTAAAGAGCACAAACAGCATGCTACAGGCTACAGATAAACTCTTCCAGGTTATCTATCCATGTCAAGATGTCAAACAAAGTGTACTACATTCTTCTCTGCTTTCTCTGTTTACTCATGTAAACTTTTTGCTCCAGTGACAGCAATGCCAGGCTAATCGATACAAACATCAAGCTATTACCTGCGCTGCTGCCTTGTGCTGCCCATGCCACCCGATTTGACGGAACGGTTGGCTTAGTCCCTCCAACGTCTCGAAATATTTATTATTTAAATTCACAAAATCTCCAAGACTAACTCGGCATGTCTGCGTCATGTCCTTGCCTTTGTTAAACTTAAGTCGGTTTTTGAGAATGAACAACCCCGATTATAGCATGGCTCTGCCCAGGTGGAGATGTCTGGCTATCAAACAATATCTTATACTCGGAATTGGTCGCGCCTCGTCTCCAAATCATGACGCGGGAAGGACCCAGCACAAGTATCGCAGATTCCAGGGTCCTTACTCGAAGAGTCTGGTTTGGAAGAGGACGTTCCAAATGCCATTTCCAATGATGCAATACAGTTGACATTAGCAACAGACCAAAAAGCGGAAAAGGCTTTTGCATTGGAAAGGACGAAGAGAAATTGTGATATTTTTCTGTCAGACCCAGAACATACGACCCGCACCAGTATGCGGCATTGTTACCTTCAATTTGACAACCAGCATCGGTTAATTCTACGGGACGAATGCTGTGTTGGAACCATCGTTGGTTACAACGGGGCTAGAAGGGAGAAGCACCGCAACTTCACCAGGATACTTGATGAGGGCATAGAAATCTTAATCCGAGCGGATATAAAATCCTTGTTGAACTGGACCTCTACCTCGTATTCCAAATTTTCATCCCCAAGCGCGAGACAGGTTTCACCGAATACGCACGCTACCAACGTTGAACGATTTCGCGAGATGATGCCCGCGGAGGATGATGTGCCTAACAGTGGACTCAACGTCTACAGCTGACAATCGACAGAAGCCATCAGTGAGGTCCAAACATTCCAGGACCCAAACCTATCCTCCTCCGTCAAGGAAAACTCGGCAAGGGCTCCTTTGGAACCGTAATTCATTTCTGTGACGTTATCACCGGAATCAAAATATGCGCGCAAGAAGCTTTTCGCAGCTCATCCGTTCGATTTAAAATCGTGGAAGCTGGAGATCGACGTGATGGCGCGAATCAAGCATGTATGTACATGAAAATAATAATCTATAATAACCATCCATGCTAACCCACTCACCAGGAACATATCGTTCAGTTTATTTTTACGGGTGCAGACCATAATCCCTGTTGTATCTGAATATCTTCCTCATGGGAATCTTGAACAGAACGAAGCGTTGATCTTTTTTTTTTTTTTTTTCCACATACAACGAGACGTTGATAATTCTTCAGCAAGGTCTAGAAGCAGTAGGCTATCTCCATGGACAATACCCTCCAATTATGCATCGGGATTTGAAACCAACATTCTTGTCAAAACCTGTGACCCTCTCCATATTAAGTTTGGAGATTTTGGTTTTATTGAAGTGGGTACGTTATTGGAGACTTCTGTAGTTGGAGCACTACTACTCTCATGAAATTGCGGCCACTCTGGAACTCTCCACGGACAAAAAGACCACAAAAGCGGTAGACATCTGGTCACTCGGGGTCGTTATACTCAGGTACGCATACAAACTTTCTATACCACGAGGAATATACGCCATATGAGAATACAATGGTGTGATATGAGGGTCGATAAAGCCAGAAACACGCGTCGGATGACCTAGGTCACATTTTATCGACCGCAATGCTTTTCATAAAACCAGCATCTCGATATTCAGCACGTGTTTGTTTGGCTGAAGTCGAGGAGCTTACGTCTTCTCAAGAGGGTAGTCAAATTCCGACTCAAACTCCCAGTACGCCAAAACCTGCTTTAGAGAGGCAACAAGCCTAGTCGAAGGGTGTGAATGCAAGCAATGCTCGAGTGAGCTATATAACCATAAGGGCGAATAAATAAAGCTAACATATACTACTTTGATAGATTATTTCTTTTGAAATTCAAGAATATATAAGTCAAACTTCGCAAGTTCAGAATCGCGAAAGAGGCCAACGCAGTCATCAACATCCTCGGTATCAACCTCCATGCCACCAAGAAACCCGTAAAGGAAATACTCGTCGCCGGCTTAAACAAGATGAGTCCGAATACGCCATATTTCACTCAAACTGGCTGTAGGATTCGAAAGTGGTTGGATCCAATGTGTCGCTGCACTGGGGCGGAGGAACCCAAGCCCCAGGGACAATGACAACAGTTGGGGCCCTGACAAGATAACGCCCATCGAGGAGAGAACGAGCTCCTCAAAGCAGGCCGGAAAATATGATGGAACAGAAGAACAACAATTCTCAAGTCCTGGTCCCTGAGGCCTCCTTTGACGAAAAGTGAACAGGAGTTTGCTTGTCAACTTCTGTTTGGCGACGAGATATCCGATCAAGTTCGCAGTTTTTCTGCATTTTCCTTGTTTTCTCCTTTCTGGTTTTTCTCTTTGTGTTTTCTGTTTTTACCTCTCCTGGAGAATACATCTTAGTATCCCAGCTGGCAAGGGAGTACTGTACTGATATTTCCCACTCCACTCCTTGCGGATGAGTTATGTCAAATCTGTTTAGATGGGTTAAATAATTTTTTTTTTTTTTCCACGGTCCGCTGCTGATCTAATGCCGTAACAATCCACCGGGAAAAACAGTATATTTCTAGCGATATAGTTAAATGTAGCAGCCATTGTGATTCAATTTATTTTACTCGTATGCCATGAATTTATTTCATCACAATAAAAGCCAAAGGAAGATTCTCCCCTTTAATTTTTGTTGTTGTCGCCTGTCCCTGCTCCTGTCCCAAAAAGGAAATATTCCCCGCCAACCCCCTCCTCCTCCTCCTCCTCCTCCTCCTCATCCTCCTCTTGCTCTACGCCCCTCTACTCCCCACGACACCAACATCACCGACCGAAGACAGCCTCTGCATCTCTCCACATCCAACATCTTTCTTTCGCCAACCCTCGCCATCTCTCAATCTCTGCCAATGCCTCTGGTTGGCACTGATACCTCTAGATAGCACGTCTTCCATGCAGTACTATCCGTAACGCGTTTCCCCTTCCATGGGCTAAACGAATTGTTTGGTATATTCTCCACGATCCTCGCTCCCAAATTCTCCTCCTCAAACCCCTCTTTTTCCCTGGTCAAAACGTCTCCTGGCCTCCATTAAACCCTCCCTCCTACTCCTCCTTCTACTCATTCGCTTCCCACCAACAAATAACGCCCACCCGCCTGCGAAACCTGAGCTCTGTCTCTTCTACCCTCTCCACTACCAGCACCGCCTTCCACCACGAAATTCCAAGTCTCTCAAGCTCTGCTTCCTTTGCGGAAGTTGAGGATCTTTCTTCCTTGCATTCGACGTAGGGACACTGGTCGGATATCAGTCGCTTCCACTGCACTTCGTGATCTCACAGCAACGAGGCTGACATACCGGTTAATGACTATGGCTGCGGTCACCCCAACAGCTGCTGGGAATGGTGCGAAGAGTCCCACCACCCCAGCATCACCAGTGGAATCAACCACTTCACAAACCTCAGGTGTAAAACGAAAGCGAACAGCAGAACCCAAGTTCTATGCAGTGAAATTTGGATTCCAGCCCGGAATCTATCACACATGGAATGACTGTTTAACGCAGGTGACCGGCTTCAAAGGCGCTGTCTGTAAGATATTTTTACATCTATTTTTCTCTCCCATTTCAGAGCGTTCTGGATTATTTCACCGTCATCGATTCATAATGCTAACTACCTTGCTTCTGATTTCTAGTCCAATCCTTCCCTACACACGAAGAAGCAAATGCTTTCCTTACAGGCACGCAAACCCCTACCACATCTAACAGTACCTCTACGGGCACAAAATTCTATGGTGTACAGCGGGGACGAAAACCAGGCGTATACACAGACTGGGCAGTGACACAGGATCAAGTGCGGGGATTCCGAGCACCAAAGTTCCGCAAATTTGCTACTTGGGCAGAGGCAGATGAGTATGTTCGACAGGGCACACAAACCCAAGATGAGATGCAAGCTATGCAGGATGACAACAAAGACTCATCTTTCAAGATGAAGCTACCTGGAGCACCTGGGATGACATCAGAGAGACCAAGAGACGCAGATGGGAATGAGTATCCGATCGGAACAGGCCCGTTGCCTCCCGGAGCTGTTGATGGATTCGATCCCAACGTTGTTCTCGATCCCGAGACAGGAAGATTGAAATACAGATCGGCGCATGAAAAAGTACAGACGAAGCAGGTGCCGGGGCGACCGGGACCCTTGAGAATCTATACGGATGGCAGTTCCTTGAGGAATGGTAGGATGGGTGCCAAGGCGGGAGTTGGAGTTTATTTTGGTCCGGGAGATAAGAGGTATTTTGATTGCAGCTTTCTTGATGTGCTTCTTATATACTCCAATTTCTACTTTTATTCCACCTTATTCTTCCAGGGAACAAGCTCTTTTTGGCTAACGCCCCCTTCTCTCCCAGCAGGAATGTCTCGGAGCCACTGAAAGGTAGCCGACAAACAAACCAACGCGCAGAGTTAACGGCAATCATACGCGCCCTGGACATTGCGCCACGACATCGCGACGTGACCATATTCACTGACAGCAAATATGCCATCAACTGTGTAACAGTCTGGTTCGTCAACTGGCAACGTAACAAATGGATGACGTCGGAGGATAAGCCGGTTGAGAACAAAGACCTGATCCAGTCGATACTGGAGAAGATCCAGGAGCGGACTGTATTGAATGTCAAGACGTTGTTTGAATGGGTACGTGGACATAATCGGGATCCCGGTAATGAGGCAGCGGACTGGCTAGCGGTTAATGGGGCGCGGAGTGCCGTGATCGAGACCGCGAATATTGAAGATAACGATGAGAATTTGTCTGATGATGAGGGCGGGGGTCAAGTTGGGGTTGGAATCGATGGTGATTGACATGTGAAGATCGTTTTGCGTGGCGTATATGCGGAATTCTAAATAGGGATGTGGATTGTTACGGGCTGTTTGCTGGGTATTTTCCCTATGATTTCCAACCGTATTGTCTCGAGTGATTTGTTTTCAGTATTTCCATTATGCCGGACTGTATGTATAATTCCTGTTGCATATTCCCTTTCCTTATCGTCTTTTTTACATTAATCATTTTTCAATTCCTCGCCTTCTCCAGCCTATTGTCTTGAATCACGATTCTGGATCAGTTTCTGTTTCTCATCCCAATCCTCCTTTCCCCCTCCTCCGGGCCTCCTTTCCTTCATAATATCCTGATATTATCGGTCGCGGAGTTTATCTTCTGTGCTATGACTATATAAGGCTATCTAAGTAGGATCCTAGCTGTCGAGATATATTCAGATATGCAAATATTTTCTGTAAATACATATATATTCAGGTTTATACTATCTTTGCAAATAATTTAATATTCTCTATGTACAGTTATCGGTGGGGAAGCTTGAAATATCGCGTCATCGATAAGGGGAGGGGTTGCATGCGTGCATATCCACACTTCTCTAGGTTGGTATAAACAGTCACGCGCTATGGAAGAGTTATTTTGATCAAAGATTTCGCTAACTTATGGCAGGGGACAAACTTGCCTTTCATCATATATTTTAATCCCCTCAAGGTGCTTTGTTAGGCATACAGGCCAGACGTAAACCAAGCGGTGTCGATACGGAATCTAAAATCACCCACTCCGATAGAGTTAAATAACAGAGACAACGGACAATTCATCTTCATCTCCAATCAGGACGGCTGCCTGGATTTCTTGCATATGCGGGAAACACCTGGGCAAAACCCCTTTGGAAGTTCTTTAAATCCGCTGAAGCTGCAGACCAGTTGGTTTAGTTACATGGTGGCGTCTTCGGCCCGCGAACGGTTTAAGCTTCACTTAATTAGTCCACACAGAGTTTAAATAAAAGTTGTCTGAGA